ATACCTTTAAATTGATTTCCTTTTGATGTGATAAAAACATCTTCTGAAGGAGATGTTGAAACGTGGCTTTTGCTGTAAAGTAACATAATTTAGATTTTAAAATAGAAAACCTTTTGTTGGCAGTAGTTTATTTGATTCAGTGCATGTACCAAGCTTTATTTGCTGCAGGTTATAAATTAGCTTTGAACCAGCTATAATTCATAAATCATTACTTACGACTGATTTATAGGAAATCTTATTAATTGCACCAGCAAAAAGACCTTGAAGTAAGCAAGAAGTAGATGATAAAATAACCTGGGGACTGAAAAATGGGAGGCACGCATACTGTACAATTAAGAGCAATGTATATACTATTTGTGTATGTTTGACTGATAGTATGTTTCTGATCACTTCAGTAAATCCTTACCACAACTTTGAATAATAGAGGTTATTGTTATTCCTGTCTATCAGAGGAAGAAGCTGAGTGTCCATTCACTTTATTTTTAATATGTATTAACTATTTATTATAAATTACTATTAGCCAGTGACTGTCTACATTATGTGACAGTGCTAACAAAACCCTTTTTGAGTAGGCAACAATGTTGTTTCCCTTGTACAGACGGAGAAGGTGAGTCACAGAGAGGTGAAGTCACTTTCCCAACTGCAGGGTCATGGAGACTCAAGCAGGCGTATAACTTCCAGAAGTCTTCATCACAGCCTTCTCTCTTGACCACTGGACACGGCTGCCTTTGTTGTTTCCTATTTTAAAGGGAAAACAATAGCAAATGGCAGAGTAAGTGTTACCCCAGAAGGAAAGGAAAAAGACCTCAGTTCTTGTCATCCTCAAAAGATAAGATTACAGATGGGAGACGGACAGTGTTGTGTCGTGAAAGATTTTAAAGGATTCATTTAGGAAAAGAAAGTCCATCTCCAAGAAGGGGAGGTGGGCTGATCCAAGGGGGAAAGCAGGGGTCTTTGTCTCCCCTTTCTCTTACACCCACACTCAGAGGTGGTCTCTTGATTGATTGACAGCTCTTGCCCCTGGAATGCTTAGTCATGTTCGGCCCCTTTGTGCATGTCCTTATCTACGGTGTACACAGAAAAAGACATCCCTCCCCCTGGTGGGGGCGGGGGGAGGCTAAACTGCAATGTTAATTATATTACAATGAGCACTGGGGCCTGTCCAGTCAAGTCCTTCTTGCTACCCAGCAGTGGTGGCTGTTGGATTTTAACCAGTATTTTGCTGACACTCATTTAGAAGAGGTACACCCCCTTTATGCTGGAGGCAGGCATACGACCATCTTCCAGATCATCCTCCCTCTCCACCTATCTGCCCAGTGCCCCCCTTTATCTAACTACCTAACATAAGGACTTAGCTCTTTCACATTTGTGCTATTTCCAGTCAACCAGTTATTTTGACCTGTGCTGCCAGAGACCCGAGGGTTCCAGAGAGAGTCATGGGGTGGGAAGTGGGAGGAGGAATGATGGAGCAGGGCCCTAGGACCCCAACTCTAAAAAAAAATGGGTCAGTTACTGCATTAAGATTTTATGTGCCATTATTTTTTCTTTTTCCTTTTTCTTTCTTAAATTAAAAAAAAATGTGTTTTGGGGAGAGGGGAGTATATAAACAAAAAAACACTAAATCACATGAATGAAAAATTTTCAGTGATCATGATCACTGACAATTTAAATAGTATTCTACCTAAAATGGAAATATCCAAGGGTTTTTAAAGTCATGTTTAAATTCACAATGAAAGATAACTCCTAACTCAGGAGAAGCCTCCCAACCACATTGTTGTGGTCTGAATGATTGCAGTGGCTTCTGGGACAGAGGGGCTGTCCTATTTGCCTGGAATCTAGCCCTGGGATGATGAGGGCAGAGGGATAGTGGCCCAAGAGTAGGAGCCCCTGAGAACCTGATACCGACAGTGGTTGGGATACAGGCTTCAGACTGATTAATTTGAATATGGAAGGCCTGCCTGTGGGCCAGTCCTTTACTGTCTCCAGGAATCCCCAGGATCAGGAAGCAAAATATCAGAAAGTACAGAAAATAAAAAGCATGATTAATGCATTGTATGCATCACTACACACATGCAAAGTGTTGGAATTAGGTATTAACTGTTTCGCACATTTTCAACAGTCTTTTTATTTAGTTCCTACAACATGCCAGGTACCGTGTTGTCAGTAGGCTAAAAAGAGACCCTGAGACATGGCCTCAGTCCTCAGGAAGCTCACAGCTGGTGCCGGAAACAGAGCCAGGGACAGCCGTGTTACTGGATGGTGTGCAAGTCAGCCCAGAGCTGCTAAAGCCCTGGGGAAGGAAGCAAACTGGTTTGCCGCCAAAGGAAAAGTAACAACTTAGAAGGTACTGGTGAAGTTTCTTTGCTGCCATAGGGAAGGAGACAAAAACCAGCGTCTGAAGCCAGAAAGCAATCAATGGCTTTAAACCTCATCTTCTTGAGACTCAAGTCCCTTTCTGCTGTTCTGTGACTGTGGGGATACGTTAAGGGTTGCCGATGGCAGATACTTTTTCCTAGTAAAGCATCTTCTTCTATTATTGGAAAAGAGCCTCTTCTCCGTCTTGTGTACCCTATGAAAATGTGATTGTTCACAAATGCTAATTTGCATTGAGAACCTCACTACAGGTAACAGGGTTACGTCCTAAAGAGGAGACAGCCCTTCGCTCCTCAAGACCGTGGAGGGTGGGCATGGAAGTGATGGCCAAGAGCCTCCCCATGTCTCTGGCATTGATTTCTCTCCAAAGCTCACTTGGAGCAACTGGAAGATCTTCCTCATTTGTCTCCTTGCTGCTGGTTTTTTCCAAAGCTTTTCTACCTCCCGTATTGGTCTAACATGACCATTCTTAAAAACAAAGCTGATGGCAGCATTTCTTTCTATAAACAAAATGTGTCATCTACAGAATAAAATGAGAGCTCTTAAGTTTGACATACGCATCTCTCCAGTCTGGACCCGATCTCTTCCCAGCTTCTTTCTCATTCTTTTCCCTAGGCCTTCCGTTCTCCTGCCACGGGGAACTTTTTATGATTCCTTGGTGTTACGAGCATCCTTCATGTGTTCATGACTTGTCTCAGGCTGGTCCCTCCACTCTTCTTTCCTTTCTTTACCGACTTCATCTACAAAATCTACATCAGACGACCCTCCTCTTTGAAAATCCCTGACTTGCCAGCATAGATTGGGTGGCTCTGACTTCAGGACCCTTGTGCCAGTGTGGTTTGGTCTCATAGCAATTATTGCTCTTCATCTATTTGCCCATCTGTCTCACCTTTTGAATTTTAATTCCCCCAAGGATGAGCATTATACTCTTTTACCTTTGTATGTCCAGTACTTAGCAAAATGTCTGGCTAAGGGAAACAACAAAACAATAATAGTAAGAATAATACTACTTATTATCTAACATTGTTGAGTTCTTTGCATAAGGAAGGCATTTTTCTAAGCTCTTTATGAATGGTAACTAATTTTATTCTCATATCAACACTAAAGGTTATGTAATATTCTCATTCCCATTTTGTAAGTGAGACAGGATAAGTAACCTGCCCAAGGTGACACATATAAATGCTAAATTATTGCCATAGTGACTTTTTGAATTGGAAATGGTGACCCTCTACCTTTTTTAAAAGTTTCTAAGAGATTCATCGAAGAGGCACTGTTTACTGAGATGAGAAGTTTGGGCGAAGTCATTACACAGGCGCTCAATCCACGAATCCATGATGAACCAGTTGCGTGGTGCATATATTGGGTGATACAAGCTTCTTTGGCATTCCCTTTGTGCTGGAAGAGATGCAGAAAATGAGCTGTTTCATTCCCCTTCCCACATATCTACTCAGAATCACTAAGAGTAGGCGCATGATACATACAATAATCCTCTTACACTAAGATTCTTTTTTGTAAATAAACATTGTGTTTCATGGAACATGATTTAATTTGTGGTATGTCTGCCTATAGGTAGCAATTGACTATGTTATCATGAGTTTTTGTACAGAAGAATCTCTAGAAATTTATGTATATTTGTGCATGTCACTATTTTGGCATATTTTCACAGGTACCCTATGTTAAGTTGCCAGTGTTTACAGCTGAGTTTGCCCCCAGAGGGAAGGCATTTTAACAAAATTAATTGTGAGAAATATTTTGCTTTTGCCATCAATCTTGCAGAAGCTTTTTCATGGAGTGTTTGAGATCAGATGTCCTGAACCAATAAGATGAACGTCTGAGCCCTGGCTCTGTACTTACTAGCCATGTGACTTCATGCATGTTTCTTCTCCTATGATTGAATTTCTTTATCTTGAAAATGGAGGCTCTAACAGTTCCTTCCTCAGAGGACTGCTGTACAGATAAGAAAGGGGGAGAGTATGCAGCCTGTGCATTTGCAAAGGACCCCAGATTCAGACGGGCCCATGCTTGGCTTAATGCTCTGTTGTAACTGATTTGAAATTCTCAATGATTTTTAACAAGGCACCCCATATTCCCATTTTGCACTGAGCCCTGCAATTTTGTCACCATTCTTGGATGGGATTGTTTGTGAAGTCTAGCCTCTGGTGCCTAGCACAAGACTAACTCTCAGTAAAAATGTCAGGTACTCATCATTTTGCAAGAGAGTTTTTTGTTTATTGGATATAGCCCCCAAATTTTATCCTCTGAACTTTTTCAGTCTGGTCTGGACATTGAAACCGATGGTGGGGGGCATCTCAGATGTCCCCATGCATTCAGGTCACATGTGGTTGGGAAACAGCACAGTGAGGCCCTCTACCTCATTCTTCCATTTCTCCATGATTGCACACCTGATGGAACATGGGCTGTGGATGGCTGCAGACTCAAAGTACAAAAACACTTCTCTATAAACAGGAGCCACATTGCTCAATAAAATACGTTAGATTTGTTGTTTTCTTAGTCTGAGAAATGATGGCTTTAGCTGATCCACTCTCTCACTGACAGTGACTCCAGAAAGACACGTGCAGAGATCTAATACTCTTTTTCTTTTTTTTTTCACTCTTACTGTATTGCAGACTATTTGAACTCCAGAAGGACCAACACCAGATAAATTATGAATGTTGAACAAGATGACCTTACATCCACAGCAGATAATGATAGGTCCTAGGTTTAACAGGGCCTTATTTGACCCCCTGCTTGTGGTGCTGCTGGCTCTTCAACTTCTTGTGGTGGCCGGTCTGGTGCGGGCTCAAACCTGCCCTTCAGTCTGCTCCTGCAGCAACCAGTTCAGCAAAGTGATTTGCGTCCGGAAAAACCTACGTGAGGTTCCAGATGGCATCTCCACCAACACTCGGCTGCTGAACCTCCATGAGAACCAAATCCAGATCATCAAAGTGAACAGCTTCAAACATTTGAGGCACCTGGAAATCCTACAGTTGAGTAGGAATCACATTAGAACCATTGAAATTGGGGCCTTCAATGGTCTGGCAAACCTCAACACGCTGGAACTCTTTGACAATCGTCTTACCACCATCCCGAATGGAGCTTTTGTTTATCTGTCTAAACTGAAGGAGCTCTGGCTGCGAAACAACCCCATTGAAAGCATCCCTTCTTATGCTTTTAACAGAATTCCTTCTTTGCGCCGACTAGACTTAGGGGAACTGAAAAGGCTTTCGTACATCTCAGAAGGTGCCTTTGAAGGTCTGTCCAACTTGCGGTATTTGAACCTTGCCATGTGCAACCTCCGAGAAATCCCTAACCTCACGCCACTCATAAAACTAGATGAGTTGGATCTTTCTGGGAATCATCTGTCTGCCATCAGGCCTGGCTCTTTCCAGGGGTTGATGCACCTTCAAAAACTGTGGATGATCCAGTCCCAGATTCAAGTGATTGAACGGAATGCCTTTGATAACCTTCAGTCACTGGTGGAGATCAACCTGGCACACAACAATCTAACATTACTGCCTCATGACCTCTTCACACCCTTGCATCATCTAGAGCGGATACACTTACATCACAACCCCTGGAACTGTAACTGTGACATCCTGTGGCTCAGCTGGTGGATAAAAGACATGGCCCCCTCCAACACCGCTTGTTGTGCCCGGTGTAACACTCCTCCCAGTCTGAAAGGGAGGTACATTGGGGAGCTTGACCAGAATTATTTCACATGCTACGCTCCTGTGATTGTGGAGCCGCCAGCAGACCTCAATGTCACCGAAGGCATGGCAGCTGAGCTGAAATGTCGGGCCTCCACGTCCCTGACCTCCGTATCTTGGATTACTCCAAATGGAACAGTCATGACGCATGGGGCGTACAAAGTGCGGATAGCCGTGCTCAGTGATGGCACGTTAAACTTCACGAATGTAACCGTGCAAGATACAGGCATGTACACCTGTATGGTGAGTAATTCTGTTGGGAATGCCACCGCTTCAGCCACCTTGAATGTTACTGCAGCAACCACCACCCCCTTCTCTTACTTTTCAACCGTCACTGTAGAGACCATGGAACCTTCTCAGGATGAGGCGCGGACCACAGATACTAACGTGGGTCCCACTCCAGTGATTGACTGGGAGACCACCAACGTGACCACCTCTCTCACGCCACAGAGCACAAGGTCCACGGAGAAAACATTCACCATCCCCGTGACTGACATGAACAGCGGGATCCCAGGAATTGACGAGGTTATGAAGACTACCAAAATCATCATTGGCTGTTTTGTGGCCATCACACTCATGGCTGCAGTGATGCTGGTCATTTTCTACAAGATGAGGAAGCAGCACCACCGGCAGAACCATCACGCCCCGACAAGGACTGTGGAAATCATCAATGTGGATGATGAGATTACAGGAGACACACCCATGGAAAGCCACCTGCCCATGCCTGCCATTGAGCATGAGCACCTCAATCACTATAACTCCTACAAATCTCCCTTCAACCACACAACAACAGTTAACACAATAAATTCAATACACAGTTCAGTGCATGAACCGTTATTGATCCGAATGAACTCTAAAGACAATGTACAAGAGACTCAAATCTAAAACATTTACAGTTACAGGAAAAAAAAATCAGAAAAAAAAGAGACAGTTTATTAAAAAATGACACAAATGACTGGGCTAAATCTACTGTTTCAAAAAAAGTGTCTTTACAAAAAAAAAACAAAAAAGAAAAGAAATTTATTTATTAAAAATTCTATTGTGATCTAAAGCAGACAAAATGATGTGTATTCCTCAGAACCTGTTTTTGCTGCACTTACTTACTGTTTTCCCACATCTCATCCCTGCCTTCCCCGACTGCCATATTTTTCATAGGAGATCTCAATTCCCTAAAGAACTGGTCTAGGAAATTTTGTAAGAATTCTGTTACACTTTGAGATTTTTATGGTGAATTCTAGTGGTGAGATCCAGTCGATTTGTCTTTCTTTTTTTTTTCTCTTTTCTTTTCTCCCTCTCATGCCCTTATGAAGTAGTCCAATGGGGAATGCAATATTAGAAATAGATTTTTAAGAGAGAGCAAGGAAAAACTGCAAAATCTTATATTTTTCATGTAATGACCTGTTCTGTATTTATGAGGAGGACCACTGAATGGAAAAGAAAAGGAAAAAAAAATAAGCAAACAACAGATTAATTTACATATGAGCATCTATAAAACCCATGATCTTTTCAACAAATCTAGAACCAGAATTTGTAGTTCAAAAGCTAAACATAAGATTATAAATAAAATATTGTTGGTTTTTCTGTACCTGGACACAGCTCATTTGTAGTCTGGCTCAAATGTGAGGAACTTGAAGGTAATGAGATTTCTTACTTTCTAAGATGATATTACAATATTCTTCAGTCACAGCACCAGTCTCTACAGGGTCCTGTTCCATTAGTTGACTTGACTTTTCAATCTATTTTCAAAGATGCTCTAGTGTTCTTTTCCTTCTCATTAGGGTCACCCTTTGTAGAATGCTCAGATTAAAAAATAATGATTTTGTAAAGTAAATTCCACTTGAAAGGAAGTTTCAGTATAACTTATTCTCTGTCTCCTAAATAAAATTCTGCTGACTAGATGAGGTACAACCACGGGATGCAAAGGTATTCTAAATTATCCAAGTGGAAAAATCGTTTTTGGTGCTGAGTGTTAGCAAATTCAGTTCAAATCAACAGTAATCATTAAAGACCTCTGATGTTTTAAACACTGATTTAAGTGTTAGGGACACACAGTTGGCAAGACCTGGTTCCTGCATTTGAATCACTGATGATCTACATGGTATATGATTAAAGAAATGTCAGTTAACTACTAGGGGCCAGCTCTGAGTTTACTGTTAGGTGGAAGTTTGAAAACCGGGACCCTTGAGTTTCAAATTATCAGGTGATTATTACCCAAACCTCCTTGATCCTGGTTTCTCCCATCCTCCAGGAAGAGCTGATTCTCTCCTACCAAATGCAGAGTGTACAGTTGTAAAGAAGTATGAGTATGAATTTACTATGGCAGATGGGTGCCTACCAAGAGATAGCCAGCCTAATACAGTGGTAATTCACCAACATTTCTTCAAGGAACTGGAGAGATTTTTGGTATGAGAACATGCAGTAGCTTCCAAGTAAAAAAAAAGAACTTTCTGGTAACTGGTGCCTCAGCATTCTCCTGATATTTTAATATAGTATGTGTCTGACTTCTCTCTTTATCTGTGTGACGCATAGTGAAAATATATACCTCTTATTACTGGTCCTTGACACCTGCCACCTCATTGGTGAGACAAGAGTTGGCCAAATTAGAGAACCCTCCAGCTCCTAATGAATGAGCAGCTTGGATACGCACACAACTCCACAGGCTTGGACCTCACACCCAGGTTTTGTGATCTCCAGGTGTGAAAAACCAGTTGTCACTAGCAAAATAGGTCAGAGATGTGGGAGAAAGAGGGAGCAAATGAACGAGACCACACAAGGATCTTGCCTCTTTTTTTCTGATCACCAAGTCTTTTATGGTTTTCTTCACCCTCATTTCCTACCTCCCTGTGTTAGAAACACAATTCACATTTGCTTTCACTGTGAGGAAGACTCAAGAAGAAGGAAAACACATGTTGGCTGTCATTGGTCAAGCTATTCAGTATTTAATGTATCTAATATATTTCTAAGCTACAGATCAGGTTAGAAACCAACCAATCAAACCAAAAAAAAAAACCATTCACCAAGGAATATCACGTGCTAATACAAAGAAAAGTGGTATAAATCAAGAAGGAAAAGAAGTCTGCCTTCTATACTTGGTTCGTCTTCAATGAGCTCTGCCTTTGCTAACTGTAAACCTTCTTTCATTTGAGCTTATATTTCTCGAGGAGTTAGTCCCAACACCACATTCCCCTTAACTGTGAGGGGTGGCTGAGCAGTTAGACAAATTCTACTAAAGAGAACGAAAGGTGAACTTAAACTAAACATTTAAGTAAGAAAGTCAAGCATACAATTCAGTCTCATGAGAGATTATAGTTGTCCTAATGAATACATTCCAAAAAAAATTAACTATGCATATACTGATGAAAGATTGGTTAAGCCAAATTTGACTTTTACAGTAAATTTAGAAATACTTTTGACAGAAGGTCCTCACTGCAGGTTTGGGGGTTGAAGGTTAGAGTCCTATACGTGTGTATTTAAAGACATGAAAATGAATTCTACACTTTCATGATCAGCAGTATCTGTATTTGCTCTGCAGCATGTATTTGGCTTTGGGTGACTCCGTACAGTAGCCACACTGATGTGTTCAAGACCATCACACAAGCGGACTTCCATGGTTCAGCAGAGAGCCCATGTGACTCTTTAAACATCTGGTATACCCTTGTAACAGAACACAATTGTATGTCTTTGCTTTCTTAATTCTATCCAAAGGCAACCACATGGCAGTATTCTTAAATACTCATGTGCATCAAAAATATGCCATTACAATTAACCAAGTTAAAGTAACCAAATGATGATTTTAGTATATATATTTATTTTTCTTACTAAAGATACGCAGTTTACTTTGGGAAAACATCAAGAGTGCTTTTAAAAGGAAGCTTCTCCAACATTTTTTTTATTTTCTTATTCAGGAATCTTACTCTTTTATACCAGGCTATCACCTCGATCTCCTAAACTCATTTTGAATGTGTCTAAATACATTTGTGGTGGCAAAATAGTAGAAGAATTTGGTATAATTCACACACATGGTCCCTGATGGAGCTTTAATTGTTTTACCTCATATTCTGAATATTCTGGAATCAAATATCATCTTTTCCAAAGATTGAAATAGATCATTGGAATGTTGGATTATTGGTCAATTATTGGAACATTGATCAATTCTATTTTTGATGAAGAAAATATTGCTAGTCCAGAATTGCTCTTAGGCCTTACAATCAAAGAGTTAAAAATCAGGATATTATTTGAGATTATTGAAATAATATTTGCATACTATGAAATGCTGAATGTAGATCTGTTGGACAATGACAGTGAAAGGGTTATTTACAAAAGGAAGAAGACATTTCTAGAACAGAATTTACTAAAACATGAAAAAAATATTAAGTGGATGGCCCCAAGGTAGTCAACATTTCCAAGGTAAATATTGATCAAGGCAAAAAAAAAAAATCCCTGCATATTTCATCCTTTTGGGATAATCGTCAAGATACTTAGAAGAGTCAGATGAGTATGTGGTGCTCTGAAGCAATGTGATTTTTAAATAATGTGCCAAATTGTTTATTTGGTGCTTCAACTTGCTAGTTTTAATGAGGATACTGGAGATAATTATATCATCAAATATCACAGATGTAACATGTGAAAGCCTTAGTAAGGAGTCAAGGTCTTCTAGGAAGTCATTTGTCCATTTCTCATAGAATGTATTTTCAGAGTCAAATTTCTTATAAAAAACATCTCCTTTCAAACTATATACACATTATATTTGATTAGCATATTTCTGTACAAACGTCACTGTAGATTAATATGTCTAAACAATTGCTTTGAAAAAAATCAAAGTACCTTCTATTCTTTCTCTTCTGCAATAAGAAGAATATATGAATTCCTACAAACTCTGTATTAGGTAGAAACCAGCTGTGATGTTGTTGTCTTTCCATGCTCTTTCAGGGTAAAAAATAAGATACATCTGGCCCCAAGAGAGAAACAAGAAATCTCCTAGAACTACCGACAGTGCACTGTCAGTTAAGGTCCAAATTTAGACGCTGAATGAAGCGCTCTTACAACACACACCAGACCCTGTCATTTTGTTTCTTTAAGTTCCTGCCAAAAACACTTCTGAGATTTCAATCTTACCATTATTTGAGAAATATATGCAAATATAAAGTTATATAATTAAATTGTAAAACAAGTGCTTTGCAGCAGCTGAAAAAAAAAAAACCATACTCCTTTGCTTTTGCCCAGAATATATTAAAATTTAAAAAAGAAAAAAAGAGGGAGGGGGATTGCTGCAAGATAGACAGTAAATTAAGCTTTTTAATGAAAACACATGATATTGGAAAGAATTCCACTGTTTTATAAATGTGGAGGGTACTCTTGCATGTCCTGGGTGAAATACAGAAAGCAAGAATTCTACAGAAATCCAGACCGTGAAAACATCTTTCCATATGTGGTCCAGGAACTTTATTTTCCAGGTAATCAATGCTGAACTTTGCTATGTATCTGATGCTGAAGTGCTGAATTTGAGTTTGTCCAACTGGCATCAATCCCGTGTCTACCTGGTTGGCAGAAGTAGCTAATATATGGCTTGTTACCTGGACCACGGAGAAGACTCACTGTCGTCTGGAGGAGAGGGGCTGGTCTCTGTGGAGGCAGGAGAACCCCTTCTGATCTGTGTCCTCCAACCCTGAGAACTTGGCAGAATCTCCATCTCGCTCCAGCCCTCAGCAATCATAATGGAAACTCATCCATTATGGGAATCCCTGCCATTCATTATGTCTCTATATCAGGAAGGCTTCTGCGTAACAATTAGTAAATCTCCTGATTTTTGAGCCCTTAGTTCCACATTAAAAGAGGTAAAAAATAAAAGAGAATGTCATCTCTACTTAAACACAGTTGCTAGTTTTGTAAAACGCATAGTTCTCTGAAAGAAATAAAGGAAGCCTCAACTGAACTAAATACATTAAAACATGCACCACAGTAATTACAATATTTTTATGCTATATACTTTCTTATGGTAACGACTATAAAATTTAAATCAAATAATTTGTAATACTAGGGAAATCATGGCTTTCTTTACTAATGGAATCATTATGAAAAAAATCAATTTTAACAAAACTTGTGAAAAGCCTCAAAAGTCAAATGTTGAATTGGACTTCCCAGTCCTATGGCTAGTTTTATTTTTAAAAAATAAAGTTTTACAAAATGAAAGAGAGAAGTAATACAGTTTGTCTTTCCAGTAGCCCTCAAGCAGGCTAGCTCATGCTTGTAAAGATATTTCTTAACAGAAATGGATGTTAAAGAATAAAGCTTAGTTAATTCTGACCATAAAAATGTCATGTAGCTATGTATTCTCACCTAAAATTCTTTCAAGAGTCTTGCAAATAAGTCACTCTTAAAAAGATAATGCTAGCCTTTGTGAACTCAGTTGCATTTGGTTTTTTAAAGCCATATCTTTATTCTATGTAGTATATTTTATCCCTGGTTTTTATTTCTCAGCATGTTTTCAGGTTTTCTAGAAGTGCTGTAAACTGAGACTACATGTCATTTAGTTATGCGATATGGAGGTCAACCCAGTATTGGTAGCAAGTCAATTAGGTGAATAAA